ATTCTCAGAAAGACGTCTCGACAACTTTATAACGTTCGACGGTTCTTCTTCAAAGAACGTGGAACGGTGTACCCACGGTGATTATTTACAAAGCAGAATTTTTGAAATTCCGCCGCTTTACGCTTCGTACCGCAGAATAATTTGCGCCGATTAAATGCGAAACGTGGCGGCGAGAAACGGCCACTTAAGCCGCGCTGCTTTCCCGATATAACATTACCGCAAATAACTTGTTTCGTGCAAATAAGCGAGAGAGAGAGAGACTAAATGATGATGAAAAATCCACGAACGTTGGCAAAGTGAACGCCTGTTAAGTCGACGTTTTGTGTAACTGGAGCAGAAATTGTTACAGTTGAGCTTTATTATCGATATTACGACCAGAATTTTATTCCTTATCTTAATGTGTAAGGTGTTTCAAATAAAAAGCTACACATACTTTGCCAACGTATTTATAAAAGGTCGTTCAGAGTAAAGAATATTACGTATAATATAAATTATCGGTCTTCGTTCTCGAGATACAATCAAATACTTTCAAAGGTAATTAACTTTTAATTTATTTTACATTGATCTATATTAGTTTAGATATCAGAAATATAACGATGAATAGAAAGAAATGAATAATGGATCTCTGTCTTTTTTAAATATTTTTGTATAGATTATCATCATAGTTTGAAATAAATAATTATCATTAACTTTCCATTTTTATTTTCTCGTGAACGAAGACGAATCGATTCAAAACGTATATATATATATTTTTTATTCAAATATATTAACAAATATAAAGATCGTTATCTTTTTATTTGGAATTGTGAAGTGATTTTATGTTTTTCCTTCAAGTATATATGCTTCCTCGTTTATTTTCAAAAAATTGATCGATAATAAAGTTGATTCCAAATTCTCACTACATTGGGAACCACTGGTTTCGTGAATAATTTATTTAATTTAGGGAAATATTTGAAAAATTTTTTTTTTCATGAGTTTCACGAGATATCCGTTGCCATTTCACACTTTCAGGTAGTCAATGCGTCGTAAAAGGAAAGGAAGAATATTCAACAAGGTATATAAAACGTGAAACGTTGTTTCTTCTAAAATTGATTCAATTGCTTTGTCATAAAATAAAACAGAGAGCCAAAGAATTGAGCAGAAATCCTGAACAATTTCACTCTCTTTATGTCGATTTTCTCAGGTTTCTATTCGTGATACGATTCAACGAGAATCGAGGAAAATCGGAAATATGGGTTAATGTTGTTTGGAAAAGCCGCAGATTTCGATCGTCAATGAAGCGCGCGTTGGTTTGAATTTATTCGCAAGCATTTTGTCGAAACTGTGTTGGTTAGTATAAGAAGATCGTTGAGAATCGTTAAGATTGATTGGATCTTTGCTTTTACGACTTATCGTTTGCAATTTAAACAGTTCCATTCGCGCCCTCGTTTGAAAAACGATTTCTTTCACCCTTTTGAGAGTGTATGTGATTGATGCGATAATAATTAAATTTGCAATTTATACATTCATTTATGAAAGCATAAAAGAAAAAAGAATAGAGAGAGTATATTCGATATACAGTCTAAAAGTTTGTAACAGATCTACTGTGAATATTAATAATAATTTATTAATCAGAAACAATTCGACAAAAGAGTTAGATTATAAAATAGTATTAAATTCCGTGTACTAGAATTGAGTACTGTATAATAATATGAAAGTTACGTGGAAAATAAAGGAAAAATAAAAGCTGATATTAGTAGAAAAAAAAAAGATTTCTTATGATTAAATATGCAAAATACTTAGAAAAATAATTGATCATTTTAATGCCTTATCGTTTATATTAGATACGATTTAAAGATAGTTATCAGATTGCACAACACATCATAACAAATCAAATATTAAATAGTCTACAAAAATCTCAACTCTAAGTTAAACAATAAAAGAAATTTGTTTTAAGAAATTCGTTCATCTATTTATTAAGTTATCTGAGTAATTACAATATAGAATTACTTTTTTAGAAATAACTCAAAGATAAGGGAAGTAGTACTTGGTCACATCATCTTATTTATAAATGAAATTTTTCAACCAACAAAAATTATCATTATATTCAAGTAGATATTTCTATTGCTACATTTATTGTTATTGATAAATTGTGAATTTAGAATAACAGTACCAATAAATAATAAAATACAAATTAAAATACCTTCAATGAAAAATTCCCTGCAGTAAAGCTCAAGGAATTTATAGATATCTGCCATAAGAAGCAAGAGCATATTGAATGCAAATTGAAGAAACGAGACACCAACCATACACATTCAATCAACACCCCGTACCTAATATCATTACAATCCACTCAACTATGTGCTCTTTTTTCGATTCATCGCCGATGTAATATCCATCCACATCATGTTACAACGCATTCTACATTCCTTACATCCAAGATCAATAACTCTGGTCATCGAGAAACATTGAATTCCACGTAGAGGGTAATTCTCTTGTCTAGATTGAAAAGGTGTCGTAATCTAATCTAATATAACCCTATGTGTATGCCATTGCGATGGCCACATTTTTATATACAATGATCTGTCGACAAAGCCGATATCTAGCTAGTTCTATCATAAACTGTTTAACAAATCGTACATAAGCACGAGATCATGATAGCAGTATTTAAATAACAGCACCGAGGAAATTTTTTTCAGAAAAATTCTCTCTCTATATAGTTAATGAAATAAAATTCCTTTAGTGAAAAGACACCAGAATTAGATAGAAGGATAAAATAGTTATTAAGATAATAGTTACTAACCTTATATATATAAGGTTGCTATTCTTTCTATTATTAAATTCAATTCTCTTCCAACGAATTTCCACAAGAAAAGAATACGTGACATCGTATTATCCCCACTACTGTTATATTAACCAAGTACGTCACGTGACATGATGCGACGTTTGGCTTTGGCAGAAGCCTCATCACGTGACATACTTTTACCTAATATAGTATTAGAAGTAACGTGATGATACAATGTTTGGTTTTAGCAAAAATTTGTGTTATGTGATATATTTTTTAAATAAGCCTAAAATAGTGATAATGAAGTGATAATAAAGTGATAATGAAGTGATAATTAAGTGATAATGAAGTGATAATGAAGATAATGTTACATATTTTCTGTGAAAATTCATAAAAGGGGAATCGAGTCATTTTTAGAGGTTAAACATAGAGGAGATAACATAAGAGAATAAAAATGGGGAAATATGAGTAATGATATTATCAAATTTGCCAGAAAATCTAGATTTTCAGTATGTGATGTTACACTTGCTATACAACAGCAGACAGAAAAAAACGTTATTATCAGAATATATTGAGATACGTTTTCATGCAATACGAAATATGATTTTTGTTGTCGTGATTCTGTATGACAACGTAATACTATATGCCGCGATAAAAAATTTATGACAATTTGATATTTAGTCGTGATATTTATCGTAAGTCACAATTTACTGTAGCATAAAAATACCTTAACACATACATCTCTGTAGCAATCATGTTTCTTTCTCTTAGTCATCTTTCTTCCTCTATTATTCCCAAATGAGTGTAACGTCACGTATTGAAAATTTAAAATCTTGTCTAACAAAGCGAATTGTACTACATCTATTGTTCTATCGTAGAATGAGAGAATGGAATGCTGGATTGGATTCAAGCTGCATTGTACATGTGTACATGCAGATATATAGTTTTTATGGCGAACTCGAAATCCCTCATTAAAAGCTTCTTTTTTTGATTCTAGAATAAACTTAATATCAAATGTATTATAAGGTAATTATTATTAATGTATTATATATAAATATATAATATATCATAAGTATTATATATATATATATAATTATCCATTCTTTTCAGAAAATTTTTCTAACAATCTTATCTATTTATTTACGTTTAAATCCACATTTTCAGGCCGATTTTAGCTCGCAAATAGAATTTGTACACGAAATGTTTTGGCAATTACGGATGTCTTGTACATAGCAAGCAGTTCATTGGATATTCAGAGAACGTAAGAGTTACGCATTAACTCTCGAGAAGCTTGGAAGCCTAAGATCTCCCTTTCTGGAAGATCATTTCCAGTTTCCATTTACGAAGTTCCGCCAGCAGCCTGTCGCGCCAGATTTCAGTAACTACCAATGGAAAACGACGTGAGGTAATAGCAACGAGAGGATAGGCATCGAATAAATCGGTCAGGTTCAAGGAAACTATCGTTAACGTGAACAACAATCGATCAACGATCTAGAAATACTTGGAAAACAAGTAATTATATATCTATTTACTAATATTAATATATTTTTTTATACTTATTACAAGATATTTTTTTATACTTTTTGTTATCATTTTGCATCAATAAATTGAGATAATTTGAAAAAATAATTAAAGTTAATGAATAAGTATATATTTTGAAAATATATCATAGAAATTAAAATTTTCTATTAACTTAATATTAATAAATATTTATCTGAATTTTTAATCGAATTGACAGTTAAAGAAAAACATTGATTATTCGTTCTATTTGTGATTCTTGAATATATATATGAATTATAGTAATATGAGTTATATTAAAATCTGATATGATAATTTTGGAAAAGGATATCTTGTAATGTTTGAAATGAAATATTATGTATATGATGAAATTCTTATTGCTTCAAAAATATAAAAAAATGCAATTAAACAAATTTCATATATTTATTTATTTCTTTAACATTAATATGAAACTATTATTATATATCTCTATTGGATGAATGTAAAACTTTGAATTTATTGCAATTATTCAATATTTATATTATTATTCTTATTATATTTTTATTTCTTTATAAATAATTAACCTAAGGATTAACCACTATTATATTATTATCTTTTCTTTGTTTTCTTGACAATCATTTTCTTCTAAATATTGTATATTATTTTTTCAGGTATAATATTGGCATGGGATATAATATTTAGGTCAAATTTCTATCCATCTCATCAATCTCATACAATCTTATTCAAACAAAAATACAAACCAAGGAAAACCACAAATATGCAACAATCTTATATCTATACATTATATCTCTACATTATAGAAAATGAAAATATTTTTCAAAAATCCAGATGCCATTACAAGATCAATAAAACGTGTAATTCAAGACTTTCGCACAGTGCGGTACAGTATCTAAACCGGTAATACATTCGCACCTTCCTTAAGACCTCGTTCGAATCCTAATTACATTCCAATTGCAACGCGCACTGTAATTCAAACGAAACTACCATGCATATCTTCCACATCACGTAAGCACGAATCAATCCCACGCACCAGGGTGCGTAGCACCGGTAATCGACAGTGGCCTTTATTGATTTTTCATTTTCCAGCCAATTCAATTATCTGGCAGAAGAGGACAATTGGATTAATTCGGGCCCTTAATTCCCTCGCTTCCAACAATTGAGTTAGATGGCTTGATTCCAAGCGCTATTTGTTTCGACCATGAGGGCGTATATATAAAAACCGTTACACACTGTCGGCCACTTACCGATGACCAGGTCATTGGATTCAAGAAAATGTATAGGCTTGTATTGTGCGTGTCTTACAAATAAGTTTCGTGGGACATTACAGAGACACGAGGACACAGGTTCTTATAATGATATATTACATGATCTTATTTGCAAACGTGAGGCGTTTAGCTCTCTTTAGATAATTGTTCTTTTTTTTTCAAAATTTTATTCCATTCCAAATAATGAATCGTATTTATTTCGTATTTATTTTTTAGGATTTCTTGTGAAGCATGCACGCATTTGGTTTCGATGAATTGTAATTGACTATTACTAAAATATGAACGATGCAAAGAATTAATAGATAATAATAATGAAATGTATTATTGAATCAAATGAAAGAATTCTTGCATTTATTTTTATCTTATTTTATTTATTTGATTACTAGGTGATCTTAATCCTTTACACTTGAAATTATCTGTACTATATATTATTGTATACTATTGTAGGAGTTTCAAAAAGATTATTCAAATATTAATGAATAACTAATATATTTTGCAAATATTCTATTTTAACTTTAAAATGTAAATATATCTGTAAGTATCTTCAAATATTTAACATTAATTTTAATCATTTAGAATTATCTGCACTGAAATTATATGTTAATAGTTTGTAGTTTATAAATTAATATAATATAATTAATATACTTAATAATATTAGTTAATTAATATAAGTATTAAGTTATATATATCTTTCATAAGTAATATTAAGTTTTTGAACATCTTTCAGAAGATGATATTCTAAAATATTCTAAATATATTGTAGTAAATTAATAAAATAACTTTATTCTAAATTTGACTTTTAGCATTACATGATAGAACAAAGCCCTTTTGTTAAAAGAGTTAAAGGTAAAGGCATAGGACGTTCTCATTTCACAATGCTTCACAATCATCGATGACTGATTGAAACGCGAGATAAACGGGAAAAATTCGTACTTACTTGGAACAAGACTATTCCCCTGACTCCTGAACCAGACTTCCTCGATCAAGCGAATAAATTACACGGACCATTACTCTACGAGTTTATTTACCAACGAGAATCCCATAGAACAACAGGACGGAAGGCCATTACATGCTTCCTCCAATTAGGAGAACCCTAGGCCGTCGATCAAGTTACACAGCCAAGTTTTGAGGATACATTTTCAAAACATTCGCAACGATGGATGAATCCTGTACGATTAATCACCATCATTCTTTGATTTTTGTGAATTGCAACTCGTCCACAAATGATTTGGATGTCGATTTTTGTTCAAATTGTGTGTAGAATGAAGAGATGCGTGTATTTATATGTTATGGGATAGTGGTATTGGCAATGGAAAATGGTTCTGTATCATATACATACAACTCTCATTGTGCAGAAACAATCAGGTGAGTATAGATAATTTGAGCTAATTAATATTAATAGCAATTATTATTGAAATTATAAATTATAGTAATAAAATATTTTTCAATAGAACATTATAAATATTATAATTTTGATTGATTGATAAGTATATTTAAATAAATTAGATAGAAATACTTTATATAATATGTATTATATAATATATACGTGACTTATCACAATATAATCAAAAAAGTTAATCTTTGCATAAAAATTTTGCTATATTAAATTATATATAGCAATGTCTATACAAATGAAATAAAATTGCAACTATTGCAACATATTTGCATATGTCTCTACTTGCTAATAAAGCTATAATAAAATAAATTAGAATAAATTATAAAAATCCTAAACTCTCTGATTACTCTATTATACATAATATCATATAACTGCAAAAATTATTTTTACAAGAGAAATTTATATCTTAAAATTGATCATTTGTCAATTATATCTAATATCATTTCCTCTCCAATTACTAAATTATAATGCACACACAATTCCTGATATTATCTCCGACAAACACGCATCAAAAACAATCTACACATACATTTTCATTCCATACACAACTTATTATCATCCGATCGGTGAATAATACTAACTTCCACTAAGCAATCATCACGATAAATCAGCAATTATCACATCTCAATCGTCGAAACGACTAAATTATCGAACAACTATGCATACTTCTTCTCAGGGGAAGGCTGTCGAAGAAACAAAGAAAACAGAATCAATCCGAAAGCGGTCGATCGGCGAACCATGAAACGCAGCCACTATTTTATCGTGGCGTTTAACACGATCCATTATGTATCTTGTGGAGAGAGGGCGGGCAGAGGTGAACAGCCTCCGTTGTGGTAGCCGGTTGATTCCTCGCTTAAGCAGATATGATTGAGGACCGCCATAGAGACGATCAATGAGCAACTAAGTATAGTCAGCTGGTGAAGGCGAACGTTCAATCAGACCACGGTGTACACGGCCTCCTACACCGAAACCACTTTAATTCGATTGAATCTGCACCAGTATACGTATGAATATATATTTCTATTAATAAGAACGTAATTTCTAATTGTAACAAAGAGATAATGAAATTATTAGTGAATTTGATTACTTTTCCATTGGAAAATATATTTTGTCAATAATGGATTAGATTATCTTATCAATGATAATAGAATAAAAGTGATGCATTAACAGAGAAATGAAATATTAAATTATTAGATTTGATCGAAACATATATTTATGTACATATGAATTAGATATACATATATTTGAATATTGTATGTAATATATGAAAAATATATGTATATATCTTAAAAGACAAATAATTTCAACTTATAATAAGTTTTTCAATCTTCTTAAAATATTATATTTACTTAAATTATATATTAAAAATATAATCAGATGTTTATGATCATCATTATAATCATCATTAATTCTCAGCAAAAGTACATGACTTTTAATATAATTAGTACAATAATAATTAATTGATCATTTTGACAAGTTTGATAATATTAGTGTTAAATAAATATATAATAATGGTAATAACTATTATTTTATAATAATAATTTCTGTTATACAGGAAACATAAATTCATGTTCATTGAAAGCAACCAATGTCCCAATACTTTCGAGTGGCAATGTATGTATACATGGTAGCTAGACCTCTGTTCACAGAAGCTTTCTAGTTTCATGGTTGGCTAAACGACACACAACATCCTCAAAGTCGTTCCCCTCGTTTAGTCACTATGGCGAAACATGCATTCCTCCCTTGTCTATAATAAAACGCGGCGACTATGACATAGCGATACAACCTCTTACATTGACAGCCTTATCTCTGAAGAGAGACTGAACGACATGTAAATCGAGACAAGATTGAATTCTGTTGCGTGATTGCACGTCGATGACCGATCGAATAGAGCTCTTTCTAACAGCGTTACGATAATGATTTTTCGTTTGGATGGAAAACTACGTTTGAGTATGCTCGATGAGAAGAATAATGGCACAAATAGAATACGTAGTGGATATAAATAGTAGTTTCTTAATTGATGATGTTTGATTGGAGAAAATAGATCGTGAATAGAAGTTTTATCTTTTTAATATAGATAACTTTTAGCACAATGAATACTTTATAAATATTATTTTATAAATATTATTCGATCCCTTTAAAATTCTTAATATTTTATAATAATTATAACTTTTAAAAATTAAGCTAACACGTATATTTTTATTGTTCCACGTATATTCAAATATTTTCGTGTGTATATACATGTATATGCAATAGACAAATCGAAAAAAATTAACACTTTATCCAAAGTCTAAAATGTCTACTGATTCATAATATTTTTAAGATTTTGAATTAGATTAGAAATATCTAATTTATCACAGATATAAAATGCAATTTACTTAAACAAAACACAAAATAATATGTACTTCCAAGTTATATCTATCATTGATATACATAAATACTTACAAAAATCATTCTTTACTTTGCCTGATCTCGAAAAAACGACATATTTCAAAATTTTATTACTATCTAAATTCATGTGTGATTCGAGCATGTTCTGATATTTACACGTCCTTAAACGAGGACGAATCACAGTTGACCGAGGGCGTTGCGATCGCGGACGTTGGAGAAGCCGTACGGTACAATAGGCATCGCGTTAATGAAACGGGACGGCCGGCATGGAGTCACGTCCGATCCTATAGCGTTAGATGCAACTTCTCTTATGATGACAGTGCAACTGACATTCGGACGGGTCGCGACCGGTTTCCGTATCGTGACAATCTCAGTTTGAGAGACATTCCTCGACACGCCATTTTTGGAATGTCATTCGCGGATTATTCGAACGTTCATTCGGGTCGAATTCTGAATCCTTTGTATCGTGGGTCAGTGGAAAGATGTATTTCTACGAATCACGAGAATATATGACTCTGTGCATGATTCTGGCTTCTGGTTGAAAGATGGCTTTAATGGGAAGAGTAAACTGTAAAAGTTAACACGTTGTTAAGAGGAGGCTTAAGATTCGTGGATGTGAGTATGCGTGAGCAGGGACGTTAAAGTTATCGGCACGTTTTATTATCACGTGCATATTCATCGACAAGTTCATTATCATTATTTGATGTACAAATTGAGTGCACAGAGTTTACTTAGGAATCAAGGTAAAGGGATGAAGGCATGGATCATTTTAAAAATAAATATACATTGGAAAACTAAATTGTTAGAAACTAAACCAATCCATTGAGAACTTTTTCATGAATTTCTTGATAAACTTTACAAATCCATATTCTTTTAATCGATAAAAAATTTGTATAAAACATTGAATAATATAAATTTTAATCGGTACACATAATAGTTGACAAAAATTTGACATCATTAATTCTAAAGAAACACGTGAAAATATCCATCCATGAAATAAATCTTGGCCTGATCTTTCATGACTATTTATTATCAAAAAAATTAATCAAACCACGATATTATCCATTTAACTAATTTTACCAATCAACCGTCTAAATTCCTTTTCCTTTCCAGATTGCATACCGATCAACGACGACAAAGCGTTAATAAAATATTAGGCATTAAAGCTAAAATGTTACGGCTATGATACCTGTGGAACAATTACGCCCGAATCCGAGCAATGCCAGGAATCTCTTTCATCGTCCCGGTTTGCGACGACGTGGAGGAATTAAAGAGCACGTTTGATTCCCGTTCACCTACGCGAGTTGGCCGTGTTACGTAAGCTCGTTGCACAGAGAGAGGAGACAAATACCATAAGTCAGCGTTACCATAGCGCAAACACACCGCTAATGGCATGCCGAGATGGTGGGTGGTGGAAGGTTTTTCGGCTCTTTGCAAACCTGTCGGCGGCGGCACCAAAGGGCACCGGAAGACGCGGGAAGCAACGCGTGGGTGGACATGTGAAAAGAGATCGGCCGAGTCACGGAACTTCATGACCCATTTGGAGATCCCGTCTTATTTGTTTTGTTTTTTCTTTTTCTTTTTTTTGGTTTTTGTTCTTTAGAAAAAAATTGTTCGACTTTCGAATTTGCGAGTTAGGGATGGTTCGTATATTTTTTGATTCGTTGATTCATTGGATCTACTATGAAGGTTTATGAAACGAGAAGCAAATTGATAGTATTTTTGGTAAACTAATAATCATATTCGAATCATGAAATATCATTAGTAGTTAATCGATTAAATTCAATTACACGAAGTATAAAATTATAAAACTTATGAAAGTGAAACAGATATTGCAATATAGTAAAAATATTTTGGAAATGTTTAATCTATATATTTATACTTGTTAATTATATATTTTATTAAGATTCTTATATATATATATATACATGTATATACTATATCTGCGATTTCCAAAATATTTAACATGATGTCTAATTTATGTTCATTAAATTATCTATTGAATAATTTCGCGTGTTTGTATAAAATAAAATCAAAAATATTCTAAATCATTTTATTCAAAAGCAGTACAATACAATTGTACTCTATTCAAACTTCTCATTCTTCACAGAATCTACTATTCATTTTTTATATCAAGAAATAAGATATCAAGAAACTTGAACTACAAGTTATAATAATATTAATAATAAAACCATATATGTTAAACATATTATATGATTCTGATGTCAATATGGAAGTTTAATACATAACAAATTTAATAAATAACAAGTTACAAAACTGAAAATGATAATAAAAATAATCATTGCTGAATTTCAATCATAAGATCTATCAAAATGAATAAATTTTAAAAAAATTTTTCTGTTCTTCTAGAAAAAGATGAAAATCATAAATCCTTTTTTATATAAATACTTCAATTCTTTTCAATAAATTCACATTTTTCGTGTGAATGCATTTCATCGTTTAATAATTGATGTTATTTAGATATATTAAGTTTATAAAGCTATTACTAATTTTTGATGAACAAACTATTATCAACTTTTATTCATTCTCCACTATGACAGTAAATAGATGAACGTTTACAATTTTACCAATGAATAGGATAATCGAGTAACACGTCATTTGTAAAATTTCGAATAATAATACAAGAAAACTTATTACTTATTCAAAATTCAACAAAATAAAAGCTTGAGACTCGAATTCGAGTTTTCCTTGAGACAGAACGATATCACAGGAGAGATATTATTGCGTCCTTGACGTCAAACTTTTTTTCGTAAATCCTTGGCACGAATCGAGCCAACGTGGAAGTTCTTCGATAGGCAACGTGACGTGAAGTAGCCGCTTTACAACGCCCACGCATCGCTTCCGACAGAATTTCAAGTTTATCGAGAATCTCGATAAATCATAAGAACCGTTCTGTATAAAATTGTCGCGATCTCGTCTCGTGGGTGTCAGTCATTTTACCAAGAGGAATTCGATGCTTTGTGAGGTAGTCGAGGGAAATATGCGCGTTATTTTACAAACTTATATAGTCTATAAAGTTAGATATTTTGAAAAGGAGAAAAACCATTAAAATAATGTTATTTTCTCTTCTTTAAAAAACTATATATTTTTTTCTTATTGGCAATAAAACTACACTATTTCTAAATAATAATTATTAATTCCCAATACAATAATATTATAAATGCTATCTGAACGAAACAAGAAAATGAAATGCACTCACCGAATCCCATCCGCACCTCCTCCTCGTCGTCGCTGTCGATGTGCTTGATACCCGCGATCTCGAAGCTCCTCGCCGATTGTTCCTTCCTCGTCTTGGGCGAGCAATCGCAGGTATCCTGGCCGCAGCCGCAATCATCACCGGCGCACCTACAACCCAGCAGCGGATCGTCGGTGTCGATATTCCTGCACGCTGGGCAGGGGAACGTCAAATCGTCCAAGGAAACCCTTTCGATTTTCCTCTCGACGGAGACCAGAAGATTGCCAATGAACGCGGGCAGCTCGTCATCCCCCACCTCGTCCACGCTCCTCAAGCTGTGCAACCTACTCTCGGCCGCTTCCCCAACCGCTCCGCCGCCCTGCTTCTTCTCGAGAACAGCCTCGTCCAGCCTCGACGGTGTCTTCAGATCATCGAGAGCGAGGGCTTTGCTCCTGGTCTCGCACCTGGCCGTCTCCTTCCACTTCTCCATGGTCATCGAGGAGACGACCTTGGCGCACCTCTTCACTTTGGCGCGACTCTCGTCGCCGGAAAGACTAGAAGAGTGGTTGTTGCTGGTGGTCCTCGATTCACCCATCTCCAGCTCCGCCTTCCACGTGCCCACGCTCGACGTCGATCTCGACTTCATGACCGCGTGGCCCCCGTCCATCATCTCGCTCTTCGCCTCCCGCCCCTCGCACTCGAGGCGATCGATCGAGCGGGCCTCCTCGCGGCGATGCTCCAACACGCAGCCCTGCTCGCGCGTCCTCGAGCGCGCCTCCTCGCGCGAACGCCGCCTGGGCCGCATGCTCTTCGCGCCGCTCGACGATTGAGGCCCGGCCACCAGGCTCCCGCTCGCCGCGTCGCTGCTCCCCTGCCCCTTTCGAGACACCTCCCGCCAGTCCATGAACTCCTCCTCGCGGTCCCAGCCGAGGAAACCCGGGGCCCTCATCGACGTCGTTCGCCAAACTACTGCGATCTGTAAACGGAAGGAAGGCTTGTGATTGAAGGGTGAGAAGGATCGTTGATTTTCTTGATTGAATATTTGAAATAGAGGGATTCTTTTCAGATTTCTTTCCAGAAACGATATATATATATATATGTGTGTGTGCATAATTTAATAATTTATGTCTCTTCTGTCTTTTAATTACAATATCTTTTTCTGCATTCATTGTTTGTACTGCTTATTATTTTTCTATGATTTTGTATAGAACTTTTTTTTTTATATAAACTCATATTGAATAATTAAATATTATGGTGGAATAATTTCCCCCTCGAAAATTTTTGAAAAATATTATTCGAATAGTTCATCGAAATCAGTACGACACTTTAAACTTTTTTAACCTCACTTCTTAATCAACGATCATAAGAAGCGGGGGTCGCGGAAATTCTCCAGGAGATTAATTTCCGCGGATGGAAACGAAAGAAACGTGACTCACCTCGACGGTATTCCGCTCGTCACCAGCGGCAACTTCGCCGCTCCCTGAGGTGGTTGCAACTGCAGCTGCGCTGCGTATGCAAAGGTAACATTCCCCGAGACGTAGCGCGGAGGCCTCGAGCTCTCCTAGCTGCAGGACGAGGCCACGTCTGCCCAACGTCAGGGGCCAGCCTTCCGGTACCACCGACTCGTTCCCCTGCAACCGTTTCCGTGCTTATTATTATGCTAATTCGCGTGTTATGGAATCAAGGTTGCTCAAGGATACGAAGAATTGTAAATAGGAATAAACACGGATAGTATATATAATAATTTTTCTTCCAGATGACTCAAGATATATTATATTTCTTTATAATAACGCAATGACAGCAATTTTTTAATTGTAATATTATGGTCAGCTTAAAAAGTAATAATAATAAAAGTTTTATTAAATACGTGATTGGGAAAAAATTATTCAACGATATTCTGTTCTGGTTATTTTCAGATGCAATAAAATAAGATCAATTATTTTCTACTCGATATCGAAGAAGATAACACTTCCATTTATCGTACGATTATTTAAATTTTACTCGAAAGGAAACGATATGTAATAAAAAAAAAAGTGAGATAATTACAATTTTCGACAACGTTAAAACAAACTCAAGAACGTTCTGTTATTATAAATTGCCATGTGCATTCACCCTGTAATTTGTCAAAACAACGTGAAACACCCACAAACGCGTTCCAATTATCTTCATACACGAAGGGGTCGAAAGTGGTTTACGATGCTCGTAAACACGCGAAACGGTGATTCGTGAGGGAGGCCCCCCTCGTTTCCCACGTTAATTCGATCGTCCCCACGTACGAGGGGGCGATGAAAAGAGCCCGGACAATCGGAGGCGATTAATTAAAACCAAGCCGGAAGAAGCTTGGCGGCTAATGAAATTCCTTTAAATAAGTTACATGCGGAAAGGAAGGGTAATTGTGGAGCCAAGCCCTCGCGAGAGGGAACGTTAATCACCTGTGATTAGAGGGGTAATCAACACAGCTCGCGGATACGCCCAAAATTGAGCAGACGTGCAACTCCGTGAATCGTGTCATAATTTTAGTCCCACGGTTCACCACGAATTCGAATTTCGTTGAATTATAAATTGAACGAGTTGCATTGCGTGGATTTTCCTTTCGTAAAAATAATAGTTTTTTTTGAAAAGAATTTATTACGCGTGATGTACAAAATGAATTAAAACAAATACAAAAATTGATATATCGGTATAATTGTCACGTTTTGGAATGTTTGGAATGTGTTCAAGTGACTCAGTTACCTAAGGAGAGATTATTTTAGACATTTTGAAAATTTCTATGGTTTTTTTTCTCTCTGAATCATGGAGAAAGAAAAACGTTTGTTATTGAATGAGATGCTGAAAAAGAAACTGAAAAAAAAATAAGCAGATCATCTTCGTATTGTTGAATTGACTTAGATTTATGAATTAGAAACAAAATGAAAATAGTTTTTCAATTAAAAAAAAAAGAAAAAGAAAAAGAAAATCAATTTCGTTTTGATATCTTCAATATTATTTTAGAAAGTGTAATTGTACACGAGAGATAGAATGTGTAGCAATTTTTTTTATGGGCAGTTTGTATGTCATGAAAATGCTTTCTCTGAGAACGAATTGAATTTTTATTTAAACGAAGCATAAAATGTTTCATAAGCATGTAATCTTGTCGTGTGTTAAATTAAGAAACATAAAATTACGTGAAAAATTTGGGAGATAATATCCAAGGTGATTATTTCGAGCTTCTCGAGACCAGAATTATCGAAACGCAATAACATTTATAACTTGGAAACGAGGTCAAGTCAGACGGAACAAGTATTCACGTAACATTTCATTTCCTTATTCGTCTTAAGAATTTTTCTGTAATACGTACGAATCCGTTGTACGTGGCTTAATAAAACCTGTTTATCTGATTTGTATATATATATATATATATATATATATATATATAATAA